GTTCTTGTTGGCAGGATCTGTCTTGAGTGTTGAACTCAGTGGACCAGTTTGGTAAAATATGAGCACCAAAAAGAATATTGTTTGTAGTTGATCATATTAATAAAACTACTAATTAATTTTTTATTTTAAAAACTAGTAATTAAAAGGAAATAATAACGCCTTCCTTGTTTCTATTTTTCAGGGTGGGTGGGATAAGTTGCAGTCATAAACAATTTCAAATCCTTAGCACCTAAAACCTAGAGAGTTTACTTTTTGTTTTTACCCTGTGTCTCCTGTGCGCTGGTGCATCTTCTCTTAGGGATGCAAAGTGACAGAGATTAATTTAGAATGCTGCTGCTCACTGTGGCAGTGGAAAGGAAAGTACTAGGGAACACTCCATATATCTGCTCACATTTTATGGGCCCAAGCGAATTACACAGCCATTGCCCAAATTTAAGAAATAATTTTTTCCTCTACTCTTCCCCAAGGGCACAGTACACTTCCTCCCTCTCCTGGTTCTGTGATTTCCCTTGTCTGTTGCAGTGTGGGTGGAAGTGACTGAGTGTTGGCCCCAAGTTGAGGCATTTCAAGCTTTCACTCTCCCTCTTGCTCTATCTCACTCAAGAAGGGAAGAGCAGACCCCTGGGAGCTGCTGTTTCTGTATTCAGTGTCCTGACTGGAGAGATGGATGTCTGACACAGAGCCTAGCAGAACCAGCAAAATCTCAAGCCTGTGAACAAGCAGTGTTTGCTGCTGTAACACGATAAGCTTTGAGATTGTTTGTTATATAAGCAAAAGCTGGGGCTGGAGAGATGGCTCAGCAGTTAAGAGCACTGGCTGCTCTTACAGAGGACCCAGGTTCAATTCCCAGCACCCATATGGCAGCAAACAATTGTCTGTAACTCCAGTTCCAGAGATTCTGAGGCCCTCTTCTGACCTCCATGGACACTGCACGACATGGGTGCACTTACATACATGCAGGCAATACACTCATACACATAAAATAAAAATAATAAATAAAATCTTTTAACAAATAAAAAACTAAAAGCAAAAGCTGGCTAACACACCCATCAGACACTCAGAAAGCAATAAAACAGAATAGTGGTGACTAGCTCAAATGACTACTTCATGATTTTTATTCCCCTGTTAAAATTTTTGGTTAGCATGATATTTGTACATTTGTGGGGTGCAATTCAATAATTTGAAATAGGCCTTTGAAGTACCTTTGCAAAATGCTTGATCTGTATTTAATCAAGATCATGGATGTGAATACGTATACATGAGGTACAGTGTTAAAAAATGCCAAGAGAAGACATTTGTGGAGGCTGCTGTTCAAGAGCCCAATGCCCATGTTGTGGTAATGAAAAAGTTACATGTGACCTGTTCTGTTCTTGTTTAAAATTATCAAAGAAAGCAAAACAGTACATTCAGTGCATGTGGAGGCTGGGGAAAAGGATCAATAAAGTGCTTACTATGCAAGCCTGAGGATCTGCATTCAGATCTCTAGCACCACCTACATACAAAGCTAGGCATGGCAGCATATGTCTGTAACCCCAGTACTCAGGGTACTGAGACAAGTAGGTCTCTGTGCAGTGAACAAAGAGCTGAACCAGTGAGCTTCAGGTTCAGTGAGAGACCCTGTGTCAAGAAATAAGATGGAGGGTGACTATGGGAAACACCTGACATTGACTTCTGGACTCTACATGTACACACACACACACACACACACACACACGTATGTATATATACACACATGTATATACACACACATGTATGTATATATACACAAACATGTATACACATATATACCACGCACACAAATAACAAAAATAATCATACATGCAGTATGTGAACCTTGACAGGATTGTAGTTTGAAAAAGCTAGCTAGAAAGGTACTTGATGTTCAGTCTGGGAAGTCTGAGTATGGGTTGGCTGTTGAGTAACCTCAGGGTAATCTTTATATTTCTGGGTGTCATAGTGGTATTAAATCTGTCTTTAATGGCATCAAACCTAAGCCATTAGTTTAGGAAACATGCTGACATATTAGTGCCAAATATCATGATATTGAACCCAGTTTCTAGTGGTTCAGCAATAAATTTATAAGGGTACACATAATTTTAACAAATAAGGCGAACATTAACATTTCTTTTTCTAAGTGATAGTGTGAATGTTCATTGCTTTATTCATTCACATTTAAGTTTGAAGTTTTTCATAGTAAAAAAGATTGGAAACACGATGACATAAGACATTGTGTCTATGGAAGAGGAAATGTTTGTAAAATTCAACCCTGCACTGAAATGTCATCCTGATCCAGATCTAACCAGCTGAATGCACTCTTATTTTGCTGCTTTTTCCTTCACAGTTTGAATGGCTGCTCTTGACCTTCTGCCTCATCCATATTTTCCCTTTGTACAAAGAAACCCCCATTGATTTAGGGAAACAGATCGATGTTCTCTCTTTCCTTGACTTTCTGCCCACCTGGAGAAAACATTTCTTATTGTATAAAGCAACATCTCCGTTTTAGAGAAAAACATCGTCTATACAAAATATATTTGTCAAACTTGATGCGTGATGATCTTTCCCATACTGCCTCTTCTGCCTTAGAGGAAGGGAATTTCTCCTCTTTCCTAAGGGGATTTTCGTCCTTGCTTAGCTTATCCTTTCTTAATGCTTCTGGGACCTTGCTCTGATCTCTGGGCCTTGGTCTTTAATTTCTATCAACTTTAAGTCTTCAATTTAATGCACATGCACTCTGACTTACATGTTTGTATATACTCATGCCTGTGTGTGTACACACACACACACACACACACACACACACACACACTGCCACCATTGTTGAAAAAATAACTTCTTTTTCTGCCACCTACCCAGCTCCCTAGATGTGGTGACCTACCTTGTTCTTCCCCTGACAGCTAAATTTCTGTTAACTACAGACTATATAAACTATTGCCATTTGCTTATTCATTATTGTCATTCATTTGTGAAACAACTCTCATTAAGGTCACAAAAAAGCAGCTTGAAAGTGAAATCCAATTTTGCATTGTCTTTGTTCATCTATCTTTTCCCCTTTCTGAACTTAAAAAAACAACACATCCAGGGCCTCTTTCTTTTAAACAATTTCTCCTGGTAGCATCTGGGGTCCCTCATTAGTTTCAATCTTACTTAATGCTGTGAGGAAGGAAAATGTAAGAGGTCAGGTCTTTCTAAAGCACAACTATCACTTTATTGGCTCTACTGGGCAATTTCAAAACTTCAATGGGTCTACCAACATGGGTTCTTTGTCTTCCAGCCTCAGGTTCCTCCTCTGTTTTCAATCCATTATGTTATATGATTTTTCTCGTTTCTATTTTGCTGTCTTATCAGCATAGTCCCTCTTGCTGACCATCTACTGGGGATGGTATCTTAACTTTGAATTGAGTTCCTTCCATTCCATTATATAGTTTCCTTTATTTGTATGACATACATTCCATGATGCCAGTGGATGTCTGAAATTTCACACAGTA